CAGCCTACCCAAGACCTGGAGGTTTGGTGGACAGGCGTGGACTAGGAGCTAGAGTCCATCCTGGTCCAAATGTGAGACCTGATCCCCTGACCTACTCTGGTACCTTAGTTAAATTACACCCTGTCTCTTTTCCATTCCTCACCATAAATGAGGAAAATGCCGTGCAGGTGAGATAAATCAAGTGAATACCCTTTATAGACCACAAAGGGCTGATTTCTTGAGCAGAGTTCTTCAAAGGAAAACTTTAGCTCCTGCTTCCTGATGTATCATCCTCTCTCTCCAATTAAGGACCCAAGCCTCCCACCATTGCAGTCCCCTTGTTCATCTCCTTCCCTTTCTCCAGTGGATATTCCCAGGAATTTCCAGTCCGAGGAATTCCCAGGAATTCTTATCCTTGACCAAATGTCAACTCCTCAGAAAAACCTTCCTGATCTTCTTGTCTAAAATATCATCTTCCTTCCTGCTGTCTTCTCCAGCTCTTTTTTTAATAGCACTTATCAGTGTCTGAAATTATATTAGGTGCTTGTTTAGTGTTCATTTCCCACACTAGATGATAAGATCAACAAAGACAGGATCTGTCTGTTATTCACCACCCAAGAATTTGACAGGTAATAGTGCTCCAAAAGTACTCGTTGAACAAATGAATGAATGGAATCAAGACTAAGCACAGCGCAAAACTTCAATGCTGGTCCAAGCAGGATTGTGTCTTGAGATACCAGCTGGTTCCATGAGGACTATAATGCAAAGGAAGCCTGACCTGAGCAGCCTACCTCACACTGGCCCCCTCTCCTGATTGCACTTAGAGCCTAAACCTTTCACTGGACACTTATTTACAAATTGCTGAGAAAGTTCCTAGCTTGTTGACATTTAGGAATAAGTAAGCTCTGTAGGTGTGAGCCTGGTTTATTTCTCTCTCTCAAGTTTACTGAGGGCATATTCACCTTTGTTTCCTTCCCCAGAGTGCCTAACAAGTACTATTTGAATGGTTGTACCTCAATGAATTAATAAATAAGTGAATAAGTGGGTGAAAGAGTAAATAAGTGAATGAATGGATAAACAATGGATGACTGAACAATGACATGGATGGATGATGGATTGATGGATAGAAAAAAGGAGGGAAGGGTGGATATATTGATGGATGGATGGTTGATGAGTGGATAGTGAGTGAATAACTAGATGGGTGATGGAGAGATGGATTATTATATGATTAGTGGATGACAGAGGAGTAGATGGATGAAGGGATTAATGGATGGATGGGCAGGATGAATAGATGGATAAAAGTATGGGTGGGAGGGGTATGGATGGCAGGGAAAGGGTAAGGGTGGGGCAGAATAAGAGAGCAGATAGATTTGATTTACTGTGTCTAAATCTCCAAAGTCACAGAATAGAGGAAGTAAATTTGCTCTGTGAACCTACAGGAGAGAGTTAGGATCACTAAGTCAGAGTGACAGGGAGACAGGTTTCAGCTCATGATAAGGTGGAAACTCCCTGTCACTAGAGATGTGGAAATAGAAAGTGCCCGCCTCCCTGCCCAGCCACCAGCCCCTGCCCAATCAGGGTACTGGGGAAGGCAAGAATTCAGATACTGGTCAAGAGGTTGAAGTATATGACTTTTGCCTTCCGACACAGAAACTGTAGGATTCTAAAAGAACCAGAAGCAAACCCCCCATCATCTGGGTTTGGTGAAATCTGGGCCCTTATTCTCTACCCAGAATCTTGGAGATGCTCTACCTTGATACCACTCCTGGGGCTGAGGATAGAGGCAATGACAATTGGGCTAGCACTGTGAGAAATCATTGGGTGCACTCCGACCACAACCCATGAGGTCGGGACTGCTTCGAAGCCATATCTGTCTACTTTTTCCACGGCTTTATAGGCAAGAGTTTAAAAATCTCAGACTCTTAAACAGTGACTAACTGTGTAGCCTTGAACAAGTTATTACCCTCTCTGATCTTCAATGGTATCATGTGTAAAATGGAGATAATGCCTCATAGGATTGTTGGCAGAATTAAGTGAAAGAATTATGTAATATGCATAGTGCAGTGCTGAACACATTGAAAGCCCTCAATAAATGATAATATTGGAACTGGTATTGGTTTTAGCATTGATATCAGCATTCAAAGCCACGTTTGTATTCATATTTATTAGAAGTATTACCATAGTATACAATGGTATTACATATATTACATGGCATTGTCATAGAATCATAAATCTAGGGCCACAGATTCATATATGCTTGATAACAGATTTTCTAAACTGACCACCTCAGAAATTTAGAACTTTTGAATTAGAACCAAACTTAGAGACATCATGGATGGTTGAACTACTCTCACAGTAGACAAGACCTTTGAAGTCATAAGTCTAACCACCCCAACCAGCCTCTCTACCCATGACAGATGCCTCTGCCCAGTGTCCTTCACCCTCCGTCTCTAGGCCAGAACATCCTGTGAGGCCGCTCTGGGGGGCCTGACTGGACCCTTTGGCCCTGTGCTCCTGTTCTCAGACAACCCAGAATCCCAAGAATTTGTGGCCACAGGAGTGGGAGCCTTGGATTGGGCCCAGGGGATGATGAAATATGGAAGCTCCCAGAGTTGGGCCTGGTGGGGAAGGCCACATTTTCTGTGTCATGTTCTATTGCACGCCAATCAATTACAGTGTGCCCTATATAAACACATCATGAGGGCTTTGACAGGGGGCCGGGGTGAAGTTGGGTGTCAGGGTAAAACAGGGGATAATAAAATCACTGGAGATTTATTTCTCTAAATTGGAAACTTCATGCTTACACCTGACTAAATCATCAGGCTGAAATCGGAGCCGACTCCCACGGAAAACACATGTAACCTTATCCCATCTTTGTTTAACGGCGACCCATCAAGCCGCCTGATGAATTCTGCAGATGCAGCCAGCATCCTCCTTGGGCTCCTTGAGTTCTGGGGGTCTCAATCAGACCTAGTTGTTCTTCCAGGGCTGGCCAAAGAAACCTCTTCTACAGGTGGGTGTCCACCTGGTACCCCGTCCCCTAAAATAGCTCTGCGTTGCTCCCACGCCTGAAAGTATACCATTTGTGTACCTAATCACTCTACATAAGATCCTCCTTTTCATGAAACCATCCTCCCTGAGAAAGGGAACGATGTTGAATAATATGAGAGTCATTTGTGACATCAAGAAAAATTCTCTAAACTGGAAATTGTCCAGTGTGGCTTCCAACACGGTTCTGTGATAACATCCCTCTATCTCTCTGGGTAAAATGACCTTGCTACTTCTTTTTACCCTGTCTCTTCCTTCATAGAACTTTTGTGAGGATTTGATGAGCTAATGGGTTAAAAGTGCTTTATAACTTATTAGTTTATGGTATATATTAACATATAATTTTCTATCTGAATTATGAAGCACTGTATGTGGAACCAGGAGGCAGTGTGAAGTCAGCCACCGCCTGTGTTCAGGGGTTTCTCCTTTACCAGGAGTGACCAGCCAGGGTGGGCGGAAGAAATTGGGAGCAAATCTCATCAGTAAGCCCCGTCTGTATGCTGGGCACTGGGTTAGTGTATGACACTCATACAATACTTCATGTGATCCCCACATCATATATGAGAATTATGCCCATTCCAAAGATGACAATTCAGGGATCAGAGAAGTTACCTAACTTTCCTGAATTACACAGTAGGATAGTGACCAGGGGGTCAATCTAGATTTGTCTGACCCCAAAGTTCATTAAAATACATGACAAGTGCTCTGTGGGACCTGAAGGAGAAAAGGACGGCAGTATGTGCCCAGGCTCAATAGAGGCCCTGCCCCTCTCCCAGCCCCTCCCTTCAGGTCCATAAATCCTTACACACACAAACACACTCACCCCAACACACACCACAGGTGGTCAGCGGACAGGGAGGCTGCAGGCTGAGGCTTCCTCCTCAGAACAGCGCTCCCTACCCACACCTCCGCCATGGCCCTTTGGGTGGGGTGAGGTGGGAGGGCGGGGAGGGCAGAAGGAGCCCCCGTGTGTCATTTTCGGCAGCAGTCAGCAGAGCCTTGCAAAGTGCAAGATGGCTTTTTTAGCCCAGCATAAGGATCTAGTTAAAAACCAATAAATCAGGAGTGAAATGTGCATAGCAGCCTGCTCCGTAAAATCAACATGGCTTGTGCCTCTGCAGGGAGCCCTCTGCCTGCCCGCTGAAGCCTGCGGCTCAGGCAGAGCCCTCCTCTGTCCCATAGACGTCTTCGGAGAGAGAGGTCTCCTCTGTCCCTTGAAAAGACAGAGCCAGGCCACCGGAGCCCCTACTTAGGAGGTGCCTCGCTTATGACATCCCCTTTCTAGATGCAGAAATGCCAAAGAAATGTGTGCGCAGGGCCCAGACAGCTCTCGGCCTCCATCCACACTGCTCCGCCCTGACACAGAAAATCGAATTAGGAGATGAATGGGCTGAGGAGTGGACGAGAACGGAGAGCCCCAGGGCGTCTCCCCAGTACAGATTCCAGAAAGCCATCTGCAGAGAGGGGCTCGGGACCCCCACTGAGATGACCCCCGGTGGAACGGGCATCCCGGGCCTCGGTGTGCCCAGCGCAGCCCCCGGGCGGGGGCGGGGAGCGAAGGAGCCCCGGCTCAGCCTCGAGTCGGTATTTAATATCTGTAAAACTGCCACTCGGGCAGCCAAGGTAAACAGCGTCCCTGGCAGTTCAAAGGTGAGCGAGTTTAAATGTTTCCCCTCTGCCTGAAAGGAATCCGTGCCGGGCCTGCGGCCGCGGCGGCCCCAGGGAGGGCCGGCCCCCCGCGCCGCCGGCCCGCAGCATCTGTGCACACAGAGGCTGCGTCTCCCACACAAATACTCAAAATTTCTCATTAAAACTTATGACTGTGTCAACAGTGCGGGCTGGGCCCCTAATCTGGAAAAGCCATTTCGCCACCGCGCCCCGCCCCCCGCGGCCCGCGCGCTGTCCCCGCCCGCGCTCTGTCGCCGCCCGCTCCACGCCCCACGCCGCGGCTGGCGCCCCGCGGGGCCCGGAGGTGCCACCTGCCCGCCCTGTCTCCGGGGCCGTGTGGAGGCCAGGACCGGCTGGCACGGGGCGGGCGTCCTCAGAGGATCGCGGGCGCACAGGGTACACGGTAGAGGGGCTGGCTTTCCCGCCAGATAAGAGCGCCGGAACCGGCCAGGCGCAGGACGCCCGCGGCGCTTCCGCTCAACTCAGAGAGCTTTCTCCTGGCGACGGTCCCCTTCAGAGTCCCCTGAACAACCCCGCCCGGCCGCATCCCTTGCAAACTTGTTCCCAGGAGTCCCTTTCTGCCCCCGCCGGGGAAGGCCCAGCTCAGCCCCGGCCTGATGCCACAGCCGAGCTGACACTCAAGGCCCCCAGCTCCCCCAGCCCCGCTGAGCGGGAGGGGCCCGGGTGGGGGACAGAGCAAAGATGCTCTGAAGAGGGGGATGAACTCGACTTGCAGTAGACTCCAAGGCAAGAGAAAAATCAGAGAAACATTTGAGCGTAGAAAGAGTCCACCCTGGGTTCAAATCCCAGCTCTGGTATTGACGATATTTCCGTTTCCTCCTCCATAAAATTTAGGGGACAATAAGAGAAAGAAAACAGCTGTGCCTACCTACTCCAGATCCTGGCACACAGTAAGTACTCCATACATGGTAGTCATTCGCTCAGTCAACCTATACTTATTTATTAAGGTTCTTTTCTGTGGACCCACAGACAGCTGACAGTCTAGGGAGAAACAGTTAAGTACAACAATAGAGGCTGAGTGTTATGAAAGGGGAAGTAGAGGGTTCTAGTGGGTGCTCCAGGCAAGGGTCCCAGAGGAAAGGCTAGATACACTGAGTAAAAGATGAGGCAGCAGGGGAAGATATTTCAAAAGCAGAACAGCCTATGCAAAGGCCCTGAAGCAAAAGAGGAGGTGATCATGAGCAAAGGCACTGAGACAGAAATGAGGCTGGGGAAATGTGAGTGCATACACAGTGTGCACCTCTCAATGAGCACTTTTAGACTGATTCTTTGTTGTATATGAGTATACACTTAATGTATGCGTATTTGAATATGGCCAAAGACATGCACCTACACCTATGCGTGTTTAAAATGTGTATGTTTGTTTGGACGTGTGCACATGTGCCTGGGTATTTATGCATGAACATGAGTGTATTTGTGTGTGTGTGTGTGCGTGCACGCCTGTATATGTGACCCATACTTGTGAATCCGAAAAAGGACTTGTACATTTGTGTTTGCACAAGCATCTGCACTGTTGATGTGTGTCTGTGTTATGCACTTGTGCTCACACACAATTTAACAAATGCTGACTCCCCACTCCCCACACCTTCTCTGGTGTCCGTGCTGTAAGAGCGGGCAGCTAGGTCCTGCATGCACTCTTACCTTTCATTGAGGCCAGATATTCCCACTGACAGGCTATGCCTGGAACCAGTACCCATAGGCCTGATGGAGCCCCTGACTGTCTTTTATTTGCTCCACTCCAGAGAAACAAGAAAATAAAAGCATGTCAAGATTTCCCTCCAGAAAGCTGAAATCCAGGCACCCATACCTCCCACCCCATTATCCTACCACAGTCAGAATCTGTGGAGACACTGGTTACATGGTGAGCAGGAATAGCTCAGCACTGAAAGTGGGAAACTGCTGTCCCAACCCCTACCAGTTTCTCTGCAGATGTGCTGTGTGACCCAGGACAAGATGCTTTGCCCTCCAAGCTGGTGAAAACGAAGATGATGCTCCCTTCATCTTAGGCTGAAATAGAACACCAACAGAGATGTGGCGAGATGATGATCATCCTTCCAAATTTTCTATTAGACTGGGTTAGCTACATTTAAAAATAAGAACAAACCAAAAATAATCCTCAGAAAAGCTTCATGAAGTTCAAAAGCGCCATTGCTCATGTTGCCTCCAAAGGGGCAAGAATTTTGCCATTGCCACCCCTGTATTCCCCTCCTAAAACAGAACCTGGCATATAGTAGGTGCTCAATAAATACTGGTTGAATTGATAAATTTGTTCATTGAGCTATTTGCCCATTCATTCACTTATCATATAATCCCTGTGCCCTTGTTTTGTGCCAGGCATTAACTGTCCCCCACCAAAAAAGAAGGGACCCTCTTGCTTAGGCTTCACTAATATCCCAGGTAAATGCATACCACTTTAAATTCACGGCTTCCCACCTCCATCGAGCCTCAAAACTGCCAGGAAATGCAACTGTTTTGCTGCTCTTTATGCTTCCCACAATGGCTGTTCAAATCGTCCTCTCTCTCTCTTCAGATCCTCCAACCTTTCCTTTCCTTCCCCTGCCCTTTCAATAGGTGACCTTCTTGGAGAAAACAAAAGCCATCAACTTTCAGCCACAAACCTACACTTTTACCTGTGCTGCCTCCAAACCTCATCTCCTTCCCTTTTACTGGAATGAATGCATCTCTCCTCCCATAAGAAGCCAGCCCTTCCCCTCTGGATCCACCCAGGAGAATTCACCCCATTGACTCACCTCTCTTTGTCCATATATTCTACCTCAGAATTTCTCAAACTGCCCATTTTGAACCATTTTAGATTCACAAATTCAGTTCAGGGTACTGTGACCAGCAGTATTTAACAATAAAATAAGGCGGGGCATGATGGCTCATGTCTGTAATTCCAGCACTTTGGGAGCATGAGGCAGAAGGATCACTTGAGCCCAAGAGCTTGAGACCAGACTGGGCAACATAGCAAGATCCTATCTCTCCAAAAGAAATTTTAAAATTAGCCAGGGGTAGTGACATGCACCTGTAGTCCCAGCTACTTGGGAAACTGAGGCAAGAGGAACACTTGAGCCCAGGAGTTCGAGGCTGCAGTGAGCTATGATCATGCCACTGCACTCCAGCCTGGGCAACAGAGCAAGATCTTATCTCTTAAAAAAAAACATTTTTTTAAGTAAAATAGGAAAGAAAACATCAGAGCACATCACACACAGTAAAGATGAGTGTATGTCATAAAACTTTTGTTTCAGGTGTGTCAGTGTGTGTAAGTGTCTCAGGTCTGGAAGAACATGTCCATCTAACCATAGGTTGTGTCAAGAAAGTGTGAAAGACGTTCTTCTACCTCCCTTTTTCTACTGCCTCCTTCCCATCAGTGGGTAACTTCCTTAAGAATCTCAACCCTTTCCTCAAGCCCAGTTCTCTTTCAGCTACTGCATCCCCCAAATCTCCTCCCAACCAGTCTTCTTTAAAGAGTCGTCTACACTCAGGCTGGGCATGGTGGCTCACTCCTGTCATCCCAGCACTTTGGGAGGCCAAGGTGTGTGGATCACCTGAGGTCAGGAGTTTGAGACCAACCTGACCAATATGGTGAAACCCCATCTCTACTAAAAATACAAAATTAGCCAGGCATGGTGGTCCATGCCTGTAATCCCAGCTACTTGGGAGGCTGAGACAGAAGAATTGCTTGAACCTGGGAAGCAGAGGTTGCAGTGAGCTGAGATTGTGCCATTGGACTCCAGCCTGGGCAACAAGAGTGAGACTCTGTCTCAAAAAAAAAAAAAAAAAGTTATCTACACTGAGTATCTACACATCTTCACCTCCCATTCCTCTGCACATCAGTACACTCCCTGAGACCCGCTACCCCGCTGTGGCGAGGCTGCCACCTACCTGCTGCTAAACCCAGCGAGAGCTTCCCTGGCTTGGCTTGCGGGGCTCTCAGAGCCCTCGCTGTTCCTTAACTCTCACACCCTCATCTTCTCCTGGTTTTCCTCCTTCCTCTGTGGCCTGCCGTCTTCATCTCCTCTGTGGGCCCTCCCGTTTCTGCCTAGCTCTTAGTGTTGGTGTTCCCCAGGGCTCACTCCTCGACCCTCTTCTCTTCTCTTTTCCCCTCAGTGAGTAATCGTGGTCTCAAGGTCCATAGGCTGATAATGCCCAACTTGGCATCTCCATCCCAACTCTCTACCTTGACCCCAGGCTCTCACCTTCCTCTGCATCCCTGCTGACTGCCCCACAGGCTCCTCCCTCTCAGCATCCCAAAGGACAGCCAGCATCTTCCTGCACCTTCCCTAATGTTCCTTGTCTGTAGCAGCACCTCTGCCCACCACACCACCCCAACCAGATAGTGGGCATCCCTGTGACTCCTTAGAGCCCGAGCTGCCCAGACACTACCTCCTGACACCTCTCTGCTCTCTCTCCACTTCTCTCCATCCCACCACCACTCTCAGAGTCAGAACTGTAATCATTCTGCCCAAATTACTTCCAGAGTTCTCACTAAGGGGTCTCCAATCCATCTTTCTAAGAGGACCGTGTTGCCCTCTGTTTTAAACCTCCAGTATCTCTCCTCGGCTGCTGGAGAGAAAGTCTAGTCTTCGGGAACACACCCTGAAAGATGTGTCCACGGGGACCCTCCGCCTTCAGCCGCTCTGATTTATGCTCTCACCCTGACTGGTGCTCTTTGGGCTGGGTGGCCTGGGACCAGCTGGCCCCTCAGCTTGCTCAGCTTCCCTGAATACCCTCACTCTCAGGTTCCTCTGGCCAAGACTGGGCTGACCCAGGGTACCCCAAGCTCACGTTCAAAGACTCAGGCCGGGCCCAGCTGCTTGGCTCCATAAATGGGGATTAGGCGCCCCCCTTTGAGGCGGGCGGGTGGGCTGTGAGAAGAGTTGGTTTGGTATAGATTTTATGGCAGGATCACATTTCGTCATCAGACCCCCCTCTGAAGCCAGCGAAGGGCAGGTCAGTGGCAGGGGAATGGGAACCTGAGATGTTCCATCAGCCCAGAGCAGAGTTGCTGGCACAGGAGGGAGCCTTGCCTGGGAATCTGAGGCCCTGAGTTCCAGCCTCCCCTTTGCTGCCCCCCTTGCTGTGTGAACTTGGGCACATTCTTTCATTCTCTGGTCTGTGAAATGGGGGCCCTAGACTAGACAGGCTCTCAGGCCAAGTCCATTTTCAGGCCCCCGACGCCCTCTCCCAGTCTAAGTCATAACGAAAGCATCACCCCTCTCAGAAGGCTGCAGAGCTATGATACACTTACACACCCATGGATTAGGGTTGCCACATAAAACACAGGATGCTTACTTAAATTTGAATTTTAGATAAATTACAAATCATTTTCAGCATAAGTATGTCCCAAATATTGTACAGACATGCTTATATTGAAACTATTTGTTATTTATCTGAAATTCAAATTTGATTAGAAGCCCTGTATTTATTTTATTTTTATTATTATTATTACTATTATTTTTTTTTTTTTTTTTTTTTTTTTTTTGCTAAATTTGGCATCCTTATCCTAGATGCACTGGAGTTTACAGGACCAGAGCCTCATGGTCCATCTAAGCAAAATAGGTCGGGTTTTGACACGTTTAAGTGGTCTTGGCAAAATCATCAAGCTGGGCAGAGACCTGTCATCAAGAGCCAGTAGAGATTTGGTGAAGGATGTTCCAGGCAAGGGAACAGCATAGGCAGAAGCCTAGAGAAAGGATGGTGTTGGCCAAGTTCCAAGAAAGGCAGTAAGAGATCAATGTGTAGACTGTAGACTCGAAGTGGCAGGAAATGCAGATGGTAAGATTAGTTGGAATCAAATCATGCCATATTCAATCTATGCTGCTACTGACATTAGAGAAAGGGACCCAGAGGAGGGTTTGAGTTGAAACAGGACCACAGACAGAGACAAAGTACAGGGAGCAGGATCTAGCTGCCCAAAGATGAGAGGAAAGACAACTGGGATGATCTGGGGGAAGGACCTTTAGGACACAGCCAGGGAATTTGGGCTCAGATCTTTTCTCTGAACAGAATAAATAATAAATAGCAGTCAGTCAGTAAATGATAGCTGTCATTATGATCAGGTGCTCAGTAAGTGCTGCAGTTTGTTACCTGCTGACCTCATCCCCAGACAGTCAGCATGGGGCCAGAGCCATTGCTTAACTGCTGGGAGCTCAGATATGATGGAACAATGACAGTTTATAGTCTCGAGCTGTGCCACCCTTCCCTTGTTCTGTTGTCCAATATCAGTGACAGATAAAAGGCCAGGGAGAATACTATGAATACAAGGGCATTTTAGGGACCAAAGAAAGTTATCTAAGCTCCTATAAAGGAGCTGCTTTATAAGAGTCCCTACAAAATCCACTTACACGAATCTCTCCTGCCACTCTCACAGCAACTCTAGGTGGTGGATATTTAAGCTCCATTCTGGAGATGTGAAAACCAAGGCTCAGAGAGAAGTCCTTTGTCCAAGGTTCTTAACTAATAATAGAGAGAGGTCAGTTTTAAAACCCAAGAGGTGGTGCATACCTGTAGTCCCAGCTACTCGGGAGGCTGGGATGGGAGGATGGCCTGAACCTAGGAGGCGGAGGTTGCAGCAGCTGAGATCGTACCACTGCACTCCAGCCTGAATGACAGAGCCAGACCTTGTCTCAAAAATAAATAAATAGGCTGGGCGCGGTGGCTCAAGCCTGTAATCCCAGCACTTTGGGAGGCCGAGACGGGCGGATCACGAGGTCAGGAGATCGAGACCATCCTGGCTAACACAGTGAAACCCCGTCTCTACTAAAAAATACAAAAAACTAGCCGGGCGAGGTGGCGGGCGCCTGTAGTCCCAGCTACTCGGGAGGCTGAGGCAGGAGAATGGCGTAAACCCGGGAGGCGGAGCTTGCAGTGAGCCGAGATCGCGCCACTGCACTCCAGCCTGGGCAACAGAGCGAGACTCCGTCTAAAAATAAATAAATAAATAAATAAATAAAATCCAAGAGCTCTTTTCCTTACATAAGGCTGTGTCTGTGGATCAAAGCAACGAAGCCCAAGTTCAATGTGTACTTCAGCCTACTCAAGCACCTTCACCCCTGATGGGCCCATCAGCTTCCTGGATGCCAAACCTTTCAACACCTGACCATGAGGCCTTGGAACTCATCTTGCCCCCAGGTCACGCACATGCTTCCTTCCATAGATCTGGGAAAAGACTGGAGATTTCAGAAACCTTGGATCCAGTCTCAAATTCTCCAGTTCCTGGCTACATGGTTTCAACTTTCTAAGCTTGTGCTTCCTCATC